AATTCTACTGCTACCGGGTCCGCGCTTCCTCGCGTTTCGGCGCGGAGTATGAGCGGGAAGCCAGACCTCGCTACTGCGGCGGCTGCGACAAGCCTGGTGAGTTAGGCCAGCGACCTAAACCAGGGCCAGAGAATGGGATGCTGACTAGCCGACAGAGGAAATGATCTTGCACGTTTTTTTTGCTGAATGCCCTGTAATACTAATCCTTTTGCTTTTTACTTTCTCATCCTTGCATCGGGTGGTTGTCATGTCAGCATTTTGTTCTTTGAGATGCATTCATGTTATACCCCCTTGTTCCTGCATTTGCATTGCGCCCATGATGACCTGAGTATCGCTTATACCTTATGTTTTGCTCTTGCTTATGCATTTCCCTTCGTTTTTCTTATACTTGATGACCCCATTCAGGGCCATGTATGGTCTCTGTGTACATTGTTACCTCTCATTGCATTTCTTAAGAGTTTACGATGTATTGCTCGTGGGTAGAGCGATTTAACGTTGTGTCGAGTGGCTTCTATGGCTGAATTAATGATGTGATTTTGAATTATAGATGACTTCTAGTTGTAAATAAAGAAACTGAACACGATAAAGAAGACACGATATACAATGTACGTTGTCCGAAGACTGGCATGTCCCCACTGGGCAATCGGGCTACTTGGCCTCATCGCCTTATCTTATTTACTCCACTTCTCCGACAACAACTTTGGCCTTCATGGGTAATTGATTCGCAATGAATGGCTTCGAATCTAAGGGCCTGGATGAAGATTCCTTCGGGCCTAAGTCTAGTTTGGCTGCCCTGAAGACCTTCGACGCCTTTCGTAAGTACCTCGAAGATTCGAGCACCTAAACAAAGTTACTCATTCATAACCAGCCAAAACCAAAGCGGCCTATACAACCCCAACCCGCAGCGGCGGCCAATGGACCGTCCTAATCCTCCTCATATGCACGATCTTCAGCTGGTCCGAGTTAAAAACCTGGTGGCGCGGCACGGAAAACTACCACTTCAGCGTTGAAAAGGGCGTCTCCCACGAGCTCCAGCTAAACCTCGACATGGTCGTACACATGCCCTGCGACCAACTCCGCGTGAATATTCAAGACGCAGCGGGCGACCGCATCCTAGCCGGCGAGCTCCTCAAACGCGACGACACAAACTGGCTCCTCTGGATGCAGAAGCGCAACCACGAGACCAGCAACGGCGTCCACGAATACCAAACCCTCTCCCACGAAGAATCAGACCGTCTCGCCGAGCAAGAAGCCGACGCGCATGTCGGCCACGTCCTCGGCGAAGTGCGTCGTAACCCCCGGCGCAAGTTCGCGAAGGGCCCGCGGATGCGTCGCGGCGTTGTCGCTGACGCTTGTCGCATCTATGGAAGTCTCGAGGGGAATAAGGTGCAGGGTGACTTTCATATCACGGCGCGCGGCCACGGGTATCGCGAGAACGCGCCGCATCTGGATCACTCGTGTATGTGTTTTCTTCCCTTAGACCATCCCTACATACAATAAAACGTCGCTAACGATGTCCATCTCCCCAGCTTTTAACTTCTCCCACATGATCACAGAGCTCTCCTTCGGTCCGCATTACCCGACGCTGCAGAACCCGCTCGATAAGACTATCGCCGAGAGCGAGGAGCACTACTACAAGTTCCAGTATTTCCTCTCCATCGTGCCGACGCTGTACAGCCGGGGAAAGGGCGCGCTGGATGCGTACACGCGCTCGCCAGAGGCTGCGGCTTCGCGGTATGGACGTAACACGGTCTTCACGAACCAGTATGCGGCAACGAGCCAGTCCAGCACGATTCCTGAGTCGCCGATGGTTGTGCCGGGTATCTTCTTCAAGTATAACATTGAGCCGATCCTGTTGTTGGTCAGCGAGGAGAGGGTGAGCTTTTTGTCGCTGCTGGTGAGGGTCATTAACACCATTTCCGGTGTGCTTGTTACTGGTGGCTGGCTTTATCAGATTACTACTTGGGCTGGCGATATCTGGGGCCGTAGGAAGAATCGGTCTTCTGAGGGGTATTTGACGGGCAAGTCTTCTATGGATTGAGATGGATGAAGAGATTATTTTGGTTTTGTTTCTGTTCGAATGTTTCTCTGTCTTATTATATCGTGTTCCATCAGATATCCTACAATTGCATCAGGAGTTCACTCTTTGCATCAAGGTTCATCGGTCAACTCCAGTTGAGTTCGACCTCGTGGTATATAGTAAATGATCGTACATCCCGCATACACGATGTAAAGTAAAGTAAATAAACACTAAACTAAACCTCAAAGATCTCCCCCATGCCTACGCCAGCGCCTTCCGCACCGGCACGGCTGTCGACCAGATCCAGACGCCAGCCGTTCCAGTCGCGCAGCTTGCTCTTGATATCGCGCATCCACTCAACACGCTTGCGGCCCTCCTCCTCAGCCTGCGCCCGCGCAAATGCATCTTCATCGAACTCGTCATCAAAGTTTTCTTCGGAAACAAGCTCAAGACTACCACGGGTGCCAGGGGGATGAGACGGGTTAGACGATGAAGCGCGGGCGCGGTTGCCACCAGCTCCTGTAAAGGCAGCGAAGCCGCTAGAAAGCACTGTGGAGAAGGACGAGTGCTGCTGCTGGGCCATGCTGCGGCGACGGGCATGGTCAGGCCGTCCACCGACGAGATCGACGTCGTCGAATGCATTGGCTGCGTCGCCGGAGGCAGGACTGGGTCCGTCATCCGGGTAATGCTCCATCTCCTGGCGTTTTTCTTGCCAAACGCCGCGGCGCAGCTCGAAGACCTCGCCTTCCAGCTCGCGGATGCGGCGCTCAAGGCGTTGGCGTTCTTCGTCCTCGAGCTCGTCCAGAGCGTCATCGTCGGCGCCTCCACCGGTCTGGCGAGTCCGAATCCGGTCACTCTCTTCGCGTAGACGGAGGTTCTCGTTTTCGATGCTGGCGATCTTTTTCCGCATGACAGCGATTTCTCTGTCGGATTTTTCGCTCTCGCGTAACCGTGTTTGGTGCCGGGCTTCAGTTTCTTTGTGAAGGTTGCCCATTGCCTGCAGTTTCTTGTCTAGCGTCTCGATTTTCTTTTCCGATTCGCTCTTCTCGTTCTTGTACTCCTCGATCTCACGCTGGAGATTCTTGATCAGCGTTTCGGTGGATGTTTTGTCGACACCTTCCTTGACGGCTTTCTCGGAGGCCCGCGTCAATGCCTGCTTGATGTCTGCGAGTTCACGTTGGGATTTATCTAGTGCTGATTGGGTCTTTGAAACCTTCTCCTCTAGCGCTGCGACCTGAGACTCATGTGCATCGTTAGAGGACGTTTGGGAGGTGAGCTGTGCGCGGAGGTTTGAGATCTCCAACTCCATGGACTCAATAGTGGCTGACTTGGACTCGAGCTGACGAACAAGGTCTGCTGGCGGTGACTCTGTTGCACTTGTGTTTCGATGTGACCGGGTTTGGAGCTGTGAGTTCTGTCGCTGGAGGGCAGCAATTTCCTCTTTCTATTCAGCAGGTTAGCAAAGATGGATTATCACAGGAAGCAAGCTGTCATACCAATGACTCAATGCTTGCAACTTTCTCCTCTGCTATCTTCAATTTCTCCCTCAACTCCTCGCCATCAACACTCGCTTCCCGCAGATCCTCCACTTGCTCCTCAGTCTTGCGCCAGCGCATAGTTGCATCCGAGAGATCCTTCTCCAAACGTTTATTATCTTTCTCAAGCTCCTCAATCTTAGTAGACTGTTTGCGGAACACTTCGTGGACCGACTCCCCGTCTCCGGTTAGGGGCGGTAATGATTGTGCGGGGGACTTCAGCGTAGCAGACGGAGAGGGGGAGACGCTGCCCTGTGAGACAGAAGTTTTGCGGAATGAGGATGAGCGCATCTTTGACTGGATTGACAGCGAGGGTTGTCGGCCGTGGTTGGCGCGGGGTGTATCGAGCCGAACTGGCACCGGCTCGGCCTCTGGATCAGGAGATGTGGGCGCTGGAGGCATCGGTTCAGTGGGAGACTCGACATTCGTATCAGTGGCAAGTTGCGCAGTTTGTTCTTCTAATTCCTCTGGTTGTTCGGGGGCTGCGGCCTCGGATTGCGCAGCCGGCTCATCTTGCATGTCTGGCTTCTCCTCTGCGGGGGCGTCTGCCTGCAGTGTCTCTGGGCTGGGGGCATCTTCAGCAGGTTCTGCCTCTGCCAGGGTCTCTGCCTCTTTGGGTGCATCGGCTCCAGTAGCGGTAGTCTTCTTGGCCTTCTTTTTCTTCTGGAGCTGGGCAACCTAAAGAACAACAATCAAATTAGCGACGAAAACAACGCCATCTGTCACTCACGAGGGATTACCCTTTTCTTGGCTGCAGCTAGCTTTTCGGCTTTGATGCGCTCCTCGTCGTCAGCCATAATGAATCGTTTGAATTGTATGAATGTAATCAAATGGGGAGGTTGAAGTGGAAGGGAGAGAATGACAGCTTCCCCCAATGCACGGACCACGTGTTGATCTATATGCCCGAATGAGATATACAATATAGTATCACTACATGTGCAGAATAGAAATCGATAAGCTAGATAATCACTTGTAGCCACTCTACTATTAGATTTGCCTGGTTCTTACTAGGTAAGATTAACAAGATACGTTGACATCACATAGGGGGTTCGCACCAGGTTGGGGCACCCTGCTTCGCTGTTGAGTTAATTTCAGGTGATAGCAGTTCAAAAAAAACGTTGGGAGTCAGAAACAGAAAAGCTTCGTAATATTAAATCTGCATGTATGAGGAAGCGCAAATACAAAAAAAAGACATGGGTGATATTAGACAGTAAGTCACAAAAGGTCAGGTCGAGGGGGCATTATGTCAATATTGACCGTTCAACAACGCCCCTCGTGAACAAAAAAACGATGCAAGTTGATTGCGCCAAGTCAAAAAGGAAAAAGAACAATAACCCAACACCTCCGGCTAGAGAAATCATACCCGATCAACGGGGCCAAAAGAAGACGTACAAGAAACGAAAAACAAAAAGCACATAAACCAAATCAAAATCATTTGGTATATCTTAGACCTCCATCGAGGCCGCAATTTCCTCGCTCATGGCCCGGACTCCCCGGCGGGCATTTGGCAAATGCTCGTCGTCGTCACTGATCACGTACGGGTCATATTCATCCACCCCGGTTCGAATCGTCTTTAGAGGGCGATCCATCTCATCGTCACTGTCGCTGGCAATAAGGTGTGATCTAGCGCGATCCCCGAACCAGAACTTAGCACGCTTGCTAGAGCTAAGGTCTGGCGTGAGGTATCCCTCGTCGTAGGTCCGCTTCCCAGTAGGCGTAGTGGCCATCTCATCTGGGGTGTGGCTGAGGATTGGAATTGCGCGGAGGAAGATGTAACAGACGCGCTTGCGAATCGGGTTGAAGAAAAAGAAATGTAGACTCCAGATAGCCCCATCATCGGCATCGGATGGGTCCTCCTCCGGCGAATACGAGTAGATCGAACACTCCTTGAGCGACATGTGCTCATCTATCGTTTTCCATACTCGTGGGCCCCACGCAGAAGATGCTCCTACTGTGTACGATCCAGAAAGCGTCGCAGGGGATGCAGGAGACAAGTTGGTGTTCTCGCGCGGTCGCAGGTTGAGCAGCGTCGAATCGACTGTGTTCATGACGCGCTTCAAATTCCGCTCCCGTCGGAAATCAGTAGGGCGCAAGACCTGTGAAAAGTCGTAATCTGGATGGCTTGCATTCAAAGTGGCAATCAAATAGGCAAAGGTCCGTCGGCTCGAATGGTCGCTCAGGGGTCCGAACGGGCTAGACCGCGATAAATTGAGGGTCTCGGCGGCATCGTGTGCGTTCGGAGGTGAAAGTGAAGCTGAAAATCGAAGGACAGATTCATATTGAGCTTCGAGCGACTGTTCGATATGGTTGTAGAGTTTCCGATCGGAGCGTGCCGCTTTGGTGGTGTAAATATCGCAGCCGCCGACAATGTGGCAGTCGGTCGTATCGAAATTCAAAGAACTGGTCACGTCCTCGAACTCTGGAAGTGGGAGAAACTATATCACGGAGAGGGTCAGTAAATTGATAGAAAGACACGTTGGGGTTGCGACCACTGAGTTCACCTTCATCGTGAGGTTAAACCGGGGTAGTGGAGATCCCCGAGATAAGCCGATAAGCGTTCTGGGATTGTGTCACAGTCTGCGATTCGAAGAGACTGACTCTGATCTCACTCCTGATGTAGCGAAGTGAGGTATAGACGAGAGAGCGATGTGAACACTGCGGGTGATTGAACCGAAGATCGAGATCTGATGATGTCGATGGCTGATAACCGCGAACAGGGCTGAGATAAGGTCAACACGAACTACACAAGGTAGATCGCAGGTCTTATAGCAAGTCAACACCAATGCGAAAGGGGGCGTATACAAAGAGATGAAAATGAAGCAGGAGGGGATGGTGGTGTCCGGTTATCTGGGAGGGGATTCCGGAAACAGTCACGTGTGGAAGGCGTGGTCCAGTAGGAACCCGCACTGACCTCACGAGCCAACCATGGAAAAGACCATTCACAGGCCAACTTGTTCCAGATTGCGTGTTATATCTTCCGATGCCTGAGATGAACAAGTTGTATTGATTAGTATAAGGAAAACTCCTATGTACGCCACAAAAAGAGCAAGAATCCTGCTTGCTTCTGTTACATGATCTTGGTGACCACATCTTCCTCAACCTGGGGAATAATTAGCCCGGCTGAAACTTGGCCATGGCTGGGAAAGGGGGATAAAGGGTCCAAATATAGACATATAGCAGCACCTCTCTTGGTCCTTTCTTCTGAGAAAGTGCCAAAATCCCCATAGAAATCAAAAGAAATCGTCCTAACTCACCTCCATATCTTCCAGACTGTCCTGCTGGCTGATACAGCGAAGAACATTCTTTTTGCTGGTCTCTTGCATTTCCCCCGCAATCAATAACTCATCAAGAATAAAGTATGCTTTCTGGAAGTTGAAGATGATGTCCAGCTCGCAGACATTGCCGTAGTACTTGTCCATCTGCTCGACGTAGCGGTGCACCACCTCGAGGGTGATCAGCTCATTATCCGTTGAGGCACAGCCAGCGATGAAGAAGAGAGAAGCGTAGCGACGGTAGACGACTTTCGAGTCTAGTGGTATAGAGTCCCTGTCAGTCCAATTCCAGCTCGGCGAAAAAGGGGTCGTGCGGGGATAGAAAGCCACCTTTGTATTCCAGGAAATTGCACATCCGCGTCCGGCGGGACAGCACCAGCTGGGTTACATCCTTGATGATCTTGGCCTTCTCCTTGGGGGAGAGAGTGGTGAACCACTTGGCGAGGCGCTAGAGAAATGTTGTCAGTTGGGCTTCGGCCAGGTGTTATGTAGTTAAGTGAGGCATACCACTTTGCCCTGTCGGGAGAGCAGAATCAGGTAGCTAACAAGGTGTCAGTAGTCGGAAATATAAGGTGACTGCAGGACAATCTCACTTGACAGGCATATTGATGGAGATGTGAAATGAAGGGATGGAGAAAAGTGTCTGGGCGGAAGCTCTGGAGAAATTCTTTGGGTGGAGCGGAGGGGAGTTTTGCCCCGCTAAGCCCTAGCTTGACAATTTAAATGTCGAGATTCAATATGGAGCTGATCTTAGAGAATATTTGTTTCTGCTAGAATTTTCCCAGGTTGTGTTTTGCGCACGGGGCCTGGAATGAGTCGACCCTCGCCTCCATGACGGAGTACCTAGGCACATGCATCTACAGCTCTTTGGAACCATGCATCACGTAGGAATATCAGCCGAGCTAGCATCGGAGCCTCATACGTGCATTTTGGACCTTAGTAAAATAGAAATAGGATAATTTTGTGGGCCTTTTTTTTTATTTGTTGATTATCGACGTGTGCATGCTATGCTATGTATGCATGCTTTGGAGATATATATATACGTCGAAGCTAGACGGTCCAACATAGATGAGCAGGGTCCACGCTCTTTAAACACGTCTTATCAACTCGAGCATAGCTGTAAAAGTGTCTGGGTTCCAGTACTCTGTAAAAACAAATACACTCAGCATCAACTAACCAATAAAGTTGAATTAAAGAGACATAAAGCGATGGTAGCAGCATCCTAGGCACCGCAACAGTCAAAATAAGAGCGAAAAACCAGGTAGAACCCGAAGGCGACTGACAAAAACGAATATTATTAAATGAAATAAGTAGTAGCACATTAAGTATCAGATCTCTCTCATGATCGAGCAGAGACTAAAAAGAGGCAGCGTTTCCGTCGAATCGTTGCAGGCATGAGACATGGAAGACATCAAAACCAAGATCCCTAGGCTCATAGATCGTACAAACCCCTTCGTACAACACACCCGTATACCGACATCACCCCCCTCAACGCCATTAACCAGAACCAGAACCATAACCATGATCCAATAGTATTCCAAATTACCAGGTAGTACATAGGCACGACGAGAGCGATAACAACCAAGTTCAAAGAGCTCAGTCTACACGATAGCCAACTTCCATGACAAAAGGCCCATTTAAACCTGTGTCATGTTGGGACGGCCACCCCGACGGCTGCCAGTACGGCTGCGCGAGGGACCGGCAGCAGAACGGGACATGAAGACCGAGACAATGACGGAAGCCATGTAGCCCGCCCACGCGAACCAGAGGAAAGCAACGGAGGCCTGGGCCTCACGGCAGCGCTTGGACTTGTCCTCTGCGCCATTGGTGATCTCATTGCTCCTGAGGTACTCCTGGAGAGGGGTCAGCGTTGATTCTCTCTCGCTCTCTCGCTCTCTCTCTCTCTCGGATATTCACGATCTGCGATATCTTCGGTTCAACTTACGTCGTTACTGCAAGAGTGGCACTCCAGCTTCGCGGCGAGCGCGATGGCAGCGCAGAAGAAGAAAACGCAGTTAAGCGCGTCGAGGACGATCATGATGATCGGGTGGCCGGACCAGTCGATGTTGAACGAGGCCGGGATCAGGTAGAAGAGCGTGAGCATTGAGAAGACCGATGCATAGATCGAGTAGTTTACGGTCGCAGGGTTCCCGGAGAAGGCTTCAGCGATCATGTTACCGATGAGAGCCATAATGAGCAGGGACCATACGAACTGCGAGTTTGGTTAGTATTGAACTTTCGTGATAGCTCTTAGCTGTCGCCGTTGCGATTGCACATACCTCCCAGGCTCTAAGACCTAGCTGCACACCCCGGAGACCCATTTTTGTAGATTTAGATTAGATCGTTCGAGGTTGATTAGATGCCGCGTATATCGCAATGGGGCCTGGTTGTAGAGGTATACGATGCGAATTCGAGTAAAGAATAGCCTATAAGTCGATTCGACAGTATATAAGACCTCTGGGAAAACGACGACGTTATAAATCGGATGCCCCGGAGCTCAGTGATGACATGGAAAAGCAACATCCCCAAAAACCTAAAACTCGGCCCTACGTCATGTATCCGGGATCGAGCGGCCCTATTAGACTCAATCACATGTGTAATTGGATGTACAGCCGTAGGATGTTGGAGATGAAATCATGAGGGTTGCACTCTGGTCAATGATGAGTTCTTGACTAGTCTTTGAATGAGGGCTTGCTTTTCCTTGATCCACCTTTTTCTTTCTTCTCCTTCATTCCAGTTCTGCAGATTCTGCTGGAACAGAGGAATCCAGGTTCCATTCGCAGTGCGTCTATCATTTCCTTTTTGTAGGTTTCCCCTCATAATTGACAAGTTCGGCGTTTTGACTAGGACAACCCTCGACTTTGGCGTCATTAGCACTACCCTCTAACCAACTGAGTCATGGAACCCGTATTCGATGAGAAATGATTCACTTCTATGCTCTATATTCCAATGACAGACAATGCTGGATAGAATTTGGATAAATACAATACAGGAAGACGAATACCTGCTTGCATGGATAAAAAATTAAATATCAATTTCAGGGCAACTATCCTCGGCTAGCACCGGTTCGCACCGCGACCTTTCATTAGTTTCCTTTGAAGGCGTTTTGCACGGATCCATATCTAGAAAGGTCAGCATTTATATATCCCAGATCCACTCATGTACAACTCACCCTTGAGGGCACTGGCTACCCAGTGCAACACTACCACTGCGCATATAGCAGACTTTGGCCTTTTGGCACGCGGTAGTAGTGCAGCTGGGGGTCTTGACACTCCGCTTCCCCTGGTAAGTGTTATGCAGATTGACTAGCTCCACGTCCTTCTCCATGGCCTCGGTAACCCGGTGCCAGAACGTGGCGTTCAACGGCGCATCCTCATCCCAACCAGCTGCCGGTCCATATGCATCGCGGGTGGAGTATTCGATCTCAAAGGTTGGACCCGTGTCATCGAGAGCCGGGTAGTCCGACACATTACTGTAGAAGGTATATGCTTCGTAGACGTTGAAGTCGCCCGTGTCGACCTCGTACAGACGGAAGCCACTGTTCAGGTTCTCCAGAGGGGTTATGCTGGGCATGATCCAACCGGTAGTGAGGGCATTGTCAGCATTCTGCACAGTCCCGTTGTTGGCATAGTAGACCATGAACTGGTCCTCGTGGGTGTGTCCGAAGAAGATGTTGGCAATAACGTGGGGCGAGTAGCGGTCCACGATCTGGTAGAATAGATCGGATGGATTGGGGAGTGGATTTTTCCCGTCCCAACCACTGAGGACATGGCCGATTATCCAGACACGCTCACCGGTGTCCTCGGCCTTTTGCAGTTCCTCGATTATCCAGGAAAACACTCCAGAGTTATCGGGGTCAGTGGTGTTGATGAACGTCAACGAGTTGTGCCGGTACCACAAGTCTATCAGAGTGAGCGAAAAGTTCCCAAATGAGTTAATAATAACATACCGGTGTTGAAGGCAATGATGCGTAGTCCGTAGTGTGTCTTGACAGAGTAGCCGCCATAATGCGTTCTCGCTTCATCGGCGGTCTCACGACTAATCCATCCTTCATGGCGCCACAGTCCAGCCAGGTGCTCATAATTCCAGCTTTGCTGCTCCCCCAGACGCCCAGGGAGGCTATGAGGAGAATCGATGTTTGCAGGACTGGTGTCATGATTTCCTAGTGCTGCAAAGACAGGGCCAGAGAGATAGTGTTTGAACATGCCGTAGATGCTGGTCTCCGTATACTGAGTGAACGCCTTGGATATCTGGGGTGCCGGGTCATGCGATACCAGATCGCCCGTATAGAGCGTCCATGCAAGGTGGTCGTCGTGTTTTCCTTTGCCAGTTCCAGTCAAAGGACCAACAGCCTGCAAAGCAGCAAGACCCAAGTCATATGGGGTATCACACAGGAAAGATCCATACGCAGAGGCAGAAAGCAGTGGTCTGTCTTCCGAAAGGTCATTGTAGTTGTCACTCCGACAGCAGAGGCTGGACGTGCAGTTTGCTTCGGAACTGACACCATACCGGGCATCAAGATGGAAGTCTGACAGATGCAGAACCTTGATCCGCTCCCCACTTGCCTTGGGGACCTGGACATCTGCAGGTTTGGGTTTGGGGAAAAGCTTGGTCGTGTCAAGCGGGCTGGTCATTGGCGCACTGCAATATTTGCTGCTGAGAGAATGGCAGATGTATTGACCATCCAATCCGTCTACATCGGCGTATGCCAGTACCTGAGTCCAGATAGCACCAAAGGTGTTCGAGGCAAAATCTTGCTCACAGGTCTCATTGGCATGGAAGCGAAAGTCCTTGCACAGGCTGATCATGGCATTCGGAACAAGAGCTGGGGCATGCAGGGCTGCAGGCTTCGCTGCGGCCAGGGCGTTCTTGCATTTGGTGCAGTCGCTGTCTGAGCTATTCGACTTGATGATGTTGGTCACATTGGATAGTGCTTCCTGAGCCAGCTTATACCTCTTTCTGGCAGGCATATGAGTTCGCGGTGCCGGGAAGGAGACCTCATCCTGGTTGTCCGGGATGTTGTCGGGATCCGTCAACTCGTAAGGGAAGGTGAGGTCCAACACTGGATCATAGAGAATTGGCTGGGGTTGCTTGGTTGGCTCGGCCGGGGAAATGTAGTAGGATCTGCCATTCACATTAGCATACCTGCGCGCCCGAGCCATCAAGTTGTCAACTGTAATCATACGAGAATGCAGAGGTCGGAAACCCAGCAGCAGCCACATAGGACGAGTCTCCTGGGAGGGAAGCCGCAAACGCACCCTCCAAGATTAGATTTGTAGTCCCCAGGAGGACCAGGAGGGCCGTCTTGAAGAAAACCGAGTGCCCCATTGATGCTGGGAAATGAGATGAAATAGAGGAGAATTGAGAGAAGAGCAAAGAAACAAAGGAAAAGAGCGAAAACAATTGGTGTCTAAGATTTAAATGCAGGTGCATTGCACGTGGCGGGGAGGGCGTATGTGAGTGGAAAGTGAGGTTGATAACCCTAGAACAATCATGTTATTTTGAGCTCCAGTAGCTTGCTATCTAGCATAAGTTCATTGAATGATCAGTCCTTTGAAGACCTTTGATCCAGATACATGAAAAACAATGGTATCACAATTCAAA